AGGCTACTGTAAGGGGTGTCCTCAGGCCAGCTGAGAGATATAATCTCTCTAGCATGTCCTGGGTCTGCCCCGTGGCCTTCTTCTGGTGGGACATACCTGAAACATGTTAATCAGGAGGTGCCAAGCGTCCCTGTCAGATGCCCAAACAACCTCAACTGGTTCCTTTCAGTGTAGAGAGTAGTGGCTCTACTTTAAGACCCTCCCAGATGGCCAAACTCGTCACCCTATCTCTGAGGGGAAGGCCAGCCACCGTCTGGAGGAAGATTGCGTTCTTCAGTCACCACCTAAAACTTGTGACCACATGGTCACAGAGGCAAAGTGTGCCAACAAAATATCCCCCAGATAATTTTATCACGCAGCCTGGATTGTCTTGAACCACTAGTAAAGGGGGGATGGATCAGAGTTTTCACGTTTATGTCAAATTCTGACTCTCACATCCAAATTTTGCAGCAAAAATCACCCTTATCAGATCAGGCAAGGTTTTCCAGATGTTCTGTGGTGTGCCACATAGCCTCAGCTACTCAATTTGATCACAAATTGTTACCCAGATTTTACGTTGTGTAACACACTTCAGGAGCAATGACGTGCGTTCCTTGAACAACCCCAGGAAATATGTTTGGATATCATGATGATAACATGATATCATAGTGTCCAGGAAAACATGTGATTGTAATGGGCTCTTACCACTCTGACTGGAAAGATGTGGTGACTGAATCACTATCAGATGAATCAGCTGTTAATTTCTGTGTATACTGTAAGTTTGTTCACCAATGATTGTCCATTACAGTGAGGTTAACCGGGTCTCTTGGGAACAAATTGTTTTTGTGATAAGATTGTTTGCCCCATATGGCCTCTGAACAGCAAGCTGGTCTTTTCATGTTTGAGAAAAAGTAAGAGTCTAATACAGCCGAGATGGATTAGTGAAAAATTATAAACACACATATTTCTTGCTCCATTTATTATAAAGATGCAGGTTGCCTTCTGCCCTTCTGCTTTTATGGTAGCATACCTAAAAGAGTGTGTGTGTGTGTGTGTGTG